TAAAGTCAGGCGCGTGCCACTACAGCCGCGGAGGCTGCCATCTTGACCATGGCACACTGTGTTGGTCGACATATTCTACTACCAATCAAAGCCCTTTCTCAGCTTCCAGGATGTATATTCCCGCTACCCAACCGTGGTTCTGTTACGTGCCGAGAATGCTGCAGCGGAAACTCAGGCTTGTGAGCAAGTCTTCAGCTTGTTCGGCACCCCAACCAATGTCATCTCCGACAACGGACCGCAGTTCCTTTCAGCAGCGTTTGCGGCCAAGTGTAAAGAGTGGCAGTGCAGTCATGAGCGAATGGTGCCCTATCAGCCAAGACAGAATCCAGTGGAGCGGCTACACCAGACAGTGAAACGCCTCATGCGAAAGTCTGGACAGTCTTCCATTCAGGCAGCGCTTCAATCGGCACTGCAGGTGATTCGCTCGACCGTGTGCGATGCTACTGGTCGAACTCCTGGGGATGTGCTTCTTCGTGGAGGATATAACACGCCGTTACGCAACATCCAACCATCGACACCGGATGCCGAGAGTGACAGTGAGATGGGTGACGAGATCCGGGCACAAGATGCCACAATGAAGGAAGCTGCAAAGACACGGTATGACCTGCGACATCGATGCCAGGAACGGACAGTAGACGGAGGTGATCATGTGTATGTCAAGGAAGCATCCGGAGGCACATGACAAGCCACTGTGGTGTCTGCAATGCCGCATGATGTGGTGTTAGAAGGTGATGATGGATCCATGCGACGCCGCCATCTGGACACCGTACGACCAGCACCGAGCAACCTTGAACCATCGCCTGATTCAGCAGCTACCCCTACGCCCGACACATCGGCTGACCACACTACAGACCAGACCATTTGCAGGCCTGCCAGTTCCAAGACTCCCGGCCTACACCCCCATTGTCTGCATCCAGTACGATACGGAAGTCGGCACGTACTCACAAGCCCAGAACTGTTATGGACCTGTGAGCTCTCTAAAGAGGGGGAGAGATGTGAGCGCTGTGTGTTTCCCAGATTAGTTGTTTCTTATTTTGTCGAAGACATTTGGTGTTATACTATTATTACTCTGGTCTGGTGTACTGCCATGCCAATGCTGGAAATGCATGCAATGACTGATCTGAGTCGAGGTGCCCGTGGATGTTGATTTGGGGCGAAGCTTCTGGAGGACTTTGAGGAGAGCGAGAGCATTTGGCTCAAGCTTATCCGACTTCCACTTTGTTTTACCTGTATTCTCGTGTTACCTGTGAATCCCTTGTTACCATAACTGTATTGCTGGAACTAGTGTGTGTGTGTGTGACCTCGGCTGGGAGACAGTAACAGCGATGACCAAGTAGTGCGCCGCCTCACCACCGTCAACAGTGACTACAATTCTCATATCAGGAGTGGGGACAAGAACGACATGATGGTGAATGTCTACTCAGGGCTGCGCAAGAGTTACAAATGGTACATGAAACTTGCATTCCATATGATCGAGGAAGCTGTGCTCAATGCATATATTCTATACAAGCAGCAGCCAGGAAGGCGTCTTAAGCACTATCAATTTGTCTTGGCTGTGGCAAATGCTATGGCAAGACAGGGCAGAGATGATCAAGCGGAGCAGCAGAACGGACCTGACCGGCTCATCGGTCGCCATTGGCTGGAGCTCATTCCTGCAACGGAGAGAAAATCTGCACCAACCAAGGAATGCGTAGTGTGTGCACCGGCAAAGAGAAAAGAATCACACTACCCGTGTAAGACATGCCCATCACATCCTGGTCTTTGCGTTGTGCCTTGCTTTGAGCACTTCCACTCAAAGGCTAATTACCATTAGGCGCTCTCTGCTGTGACCTGCTTTCACAATTTCACAACTGATGCCGCCTTATGACATGAACGTCTTTCTTGCAACCGTATATTTCAGTGAGCAAGATCACAAACTTGAGGATTACACACATCGATGAAAACCTGAGTTGACAACCTGTATTTATTTCAATTTGCTTGCTTTTTAGTTAGGATAATGTCGTCACGGGTTTGAGAACCGTGAACGAACTGCCTCTACGCTCCTCGCCACACCACACAACAAAGGACTACTTCCTCCGTATATAAAAACTTCGTGACTTTTTTTTGAAGGCTGCGCATAGCTCTGGAATTGTTCCGTTTGACTTGGAATAACACTCGTGGCATTGTCTACCCTGTTTTCAAGCTATATACAAAGAAAAAAGCAACTCAGACGAATGAGATTGAGTTTATTCAGAGTCTTCGTCGCTCCTGTCATTGTCACCTGACGACGCTGACTCCGCATCGCCAAAAGTCGCTGCTTCGCTCGCATTTCGTTCAGATTCTTTTCAGCTGCAGTGATGATCCGACGCGGGACTTTGGCTAGCGTACTCTTCATTTCCAGAGCTGTGTACGAATCGGTGTCGACTATATTCAGTCTTTCCAACCCGCGACCTCCATTATGCCGTGAAACGAGTCGCTCAAGCACATCCACACGCTTCGCATTTTCTCGGCAGGAGAATCCTCCCAGCATTCTACAACGGCTTCGACGATGTCCCTGCGATTCCCCTCCTAGGCCACAACGGAGACGTCTGACTGGAGTGGAGAGAGGCGAAGAAAGCCAGGTCGTCGACATTCCGATCCGGAGTCTGCGCTGGGTGCACGACGACTGAAATGTTTCATCTTTCCGTGCGAGCGGAACCGATTTATGCTCTCACGCTGCGTATGGGGCCGCGCGCGCGCACTGCAAGTACGAGCCTGGCCAGTTTCAGGGCAGCGAGTGCCGCGTGAGTCGTGACCAGGTGACTCCGTGCTCCAGGCGCGAGCTCCACTTCGTCACAGTGTCAGTTTCGAGCAAGTAAAGTGTTAGTTTTTTGTTATTGGATTCGTGAGTTCCTGTCGGCAACGTCCTCACACGCATGGCTTCCGTGGAGAATCTGTTCGAGATCAACCAAACCTACCTCAACATGAATGTGCGTTGTCGATGACAGCCTTTGGCGCGGTTCGTTGAGCAGGTTCTTGCTCAAGAACACCGTTGAAAAAAAGTCACGAAGTTTTTGTATACGGAGGAAGTAGCACAAATTGTTAGAGAGCTTTTCTTCCACTTCATTTCAGTAGGCGACTGGGGAACTCATAAAGAAGAACCAACACTGACAATGAACGACTGACGACTGACACTGAGACAAGACGAGACAACAGAATATACTATAGTGAAGGTGTACAACGGGGACACGATGAGCAAGTGTGTACCAACGGCGACAGAAGACGGTGCAGCCGCATGTACGCAGGAGTCAAAAACAGCGCAGCAGCATGTACCACGACTCAGCAGCATGTACAACAAAGAGACACAAAGCAGCCACATGTACGACAAAGAGCTACACGTGCAACCGCATGTACAACAAAGAGACACACGCGTAGCCACATGTACAACAATAAAATAATCATACAACACCGTTAGGTTACTCTGCTGTTATGCTGACTGCCGGAGTTGTGATGCCGAAATGCGTTATGTGCACGACGTTCTAAATTGTGTCCACATGCTTGTATATGCTGTGTCTGTTTTATCACTGTGTACCTCTATCTTTGTCTGGTATCATCAGGATGACTTGACTGTCAATAGGGCACTGTTTATATTATGGTATGGACACTATAAGACCGCTATATACAATATGCGATGAGATGCAATATACGTAACAAATTTTAGCGCAATTAGCTAAAAAGTGGTGTTTTAGTTTTGCTCAGAAACACACCTTTTATCTGCTGTAGTGCCTTCAAAATTTGTGGAATCTCTCAAAACATGTCCCTTTCCATGACACAAGTCGGTTTGAGTTGATACGACTAGTTTGAAAAAAAAATCAGACTTTCATGAAAATTGCCCTTACAACCACGTGCATCTGGTGTGGCACTGAAAGGGTTAAGTCCTCCACCACCAGCAAGACAACTACCGCAAAGTTCAGGAAGCTGTTTGCGGCGAATGGTTCTTCTGATGCAATCGTGACAGAAAACGCGTGGAGTGGAGCAATTGCATGGCTTTGATAAGTATCATCCACCTGCGCAGTGCACCATACTTCCCTGCAACCAACGAAGCTGCAGAACGCTGTGTCCAAAAAATCAAGGCTGCCTTGTTGTGAGAGAAGCAGGGTCTGCTCTTCTGGCCAGATGCACTGCAGACATTCCGAGAACCGTATCGATCGACTCCTCGCGCTGCAACTGGAAAACGTCATCGCCATTGTTCCTTCAACGGGAGATCCAAACCAGGCTGGACCTGATACAGCCACAAGCCACGAATACCACCACCTCTCCCTACCATCAGCTAAAGGGTTGGATGTAGGCAGCACCGTCTATGTGCTGGCGTTCAACCAGCCTCAGAAGTGGTCAGATGGAACCGTATTGCAGCGGAAAGGCACCAAGTCTTTCGAAGTTAAGCTGGCCAACGGTGTCATTGTGCATAGACATGTGGACCAGCTACGTGTTCGTGATCCTGCAACGACTCCTGAAGCCACAGCGCTACAGGGCTGAACAGCTGAACTATGCTAGAGTACCGCTCTGTTGTCATGTTCCTAGTCAGCCACCTTCCCATGATGCTCGCACTTCGCACGCTGTCCTTTCCTCTGTTTAGTCTCCTCCTTGTGTTTTGAAGGGGGAGGTTGTAGTGTATGTGTCATCGCATGACGTCATAAGTATTGCGCGTACACTAGTCCCCTTGCGCAGTCTCTGAATTTGCGTGACTTCTGGTTGAGCAGTGTTCTTTGCCCGCCTTTGCTTTCCGGAATGTTCTTCTGTTGTTGATCCTTAACACTAAGGGAAAAGTGATACCTCAAACATCAATCCACTCTAGCTGCCAAATCAACGTATCTTTCTGCAAGGGATAGGGCAGGTGGGTTTAGGAGAGTGCCAAGTAAACCTTTTCGTGTCGTGAAAAGTATCCATAATGCCAGAAGGCCCCTACGTGTTAATGTACAATTTACATAATAAAGTAGTAGTTAATGCACTCCTCTACAGCAGCTACATGTTCAGCAACTCACCTGCAGGATTTGTTGCTCCAGTAATAGGACCTGCTAAACGGTCAGATGTTCCAGTCCCTGTATTCTTCACATAAATATCCTTGAATGAATATGTTGCATCATCCTCCAGTGTCCCTGCTGCTGAAGAACTATCGTATCCATATTTAATCGTTACTGTGTGATGAGTCATATTTTGGACAGTATTCCCTCCTGTGCCTGTACTTGACATGACACAAGGCGAAGGAGGACTGGGAGATGCCGTTGTTGAAGGTGCAGTTCCCGAAATCCCGGATAACTCATGAGAATAGCAAACTTCCTTCAGGTTATATTTACCGATGGCCACTTGGATGCTCAAAGTAATGAATTTAATGTTTTTTGTCGTCATCAATATTGGCATATGAGGCTCTGTTCACAGCAAAACAAACAAAATAACCGTACACGAGCACGCACACATATACAAACACAAATACATGCACACACAAACACGTACACACACCTTGGGCCTTGGACACGGTGCCATGGTTTGCACGGCTGTAATGCATACATGATCCAGCAACATAACGCATGGTACAACATATGCCCCTCATCACAGTGATGTCTGGCCTTGCTGTCGTACACGACCTTGCTGTCATTTTCTAATTTCTGGAAATATTTGGCAAGGTTTCCTTTAGATTTCTATCGTACACACACATACACACACAAACACACACACACACACACATGTGCACGCGCATGCGCACACACTGCACACCTTGATACCCCTATACTCGTCCAAATGTGCACGATGTACGCATTGAGCATAGATCACTGTAAAAAATCTTCGTATCTCCGTTGTCCCTTCTTTGATTTTCACAAACGATAACTTGTTGGAAAGGTAAGTGTACAGTGTATATCCAGCCCACTGATAATGATGCAGAGCCACTCCGTTTCATGTGTCTATCAGCACTGCTTGTTGTACTGTTGTGCATTATCATACTCCTACGCATTCGTTCCTAGATCCTCATGTTGTATTCACGTCAGCTAACGTCTGATCGTGTAAAAAGACTTTTTACGCGTGCTGAACTGCGCCGACACCCACGGTCAACTGGGTACTCACAGCTCGGAGTGAGAATAACAAGGATGCAGTTTACAGGGTTATGGGCCGTTACACGCCCGATTGGTTGAGAGACTAACCTCCTCTCCCCTGACTCACTTGTGAGGTCTGCATTCGCCACTAAGGTTAATAGGCATAGTGGTGGCCTGCGGATGCGAAGGCTAGTTTGTGTGTTTCTGAACATTCAAGCGATGCCGACGCGGATCCCGCGAATATTATTTAACGTCTGATGCGCGTAGTCGCGTACACTGCTTTCACTTCTCATTTTGTATTCACGTCTGATGCGCGTAGTCGCGTACACTGCTTTCGCGCGATCTTTTGATTTGAATGTTTTTTGAATCTCCGCTTCTGCTTCGAGAGAGGCAGAGCTTTCCTTTGGACTGCAAGATGATTTCCAACAGAGTCAGAGTAAAACATTATAATACAGTCTTCTAAAACAACGAGTCGTGTGCTATCCGGAGGCATGTTCGAGTAAGAACAGTAAGAAAAAGACCTTTCCAGTGGTGTGTCACTTGTGGCAGCGCGAGACGAAATACCCGAACGGCGAAGACCGAAACGCAGTTGCATACTTCTGAACTTGAGAATTTTGAAATGTTTTGAGTAGGGCTCGCGTACGCATGGGGTTTCCCCATGACTCATACCAGCGCAGCCCATCCGCAATGGGTACCAAGATAAGATGACCGCTTGAGCTTCAGCAGCACAAAGGACTTTGAATCGTGGTTTTGTGTTGAGTACAAGTCATGAACCGAAGGAAATTGTTGCTGTGGCCTACAATAATGCCGAGAAAACGAACTGGTAGAAGACCACTCTAATTTCACAAATAGTCGGTGTAATTTTATTTTCGGTACTTTCGGTGCGTCTGTTTCATACCTAAAATCTCACTACACTGAAGAAATGCTAACAGACGCAATCCAATAGGGACTTGCTCTTCTGGACCCAAAATAATCTGTTTACCTAGTCTGGCCTTTTGCCCTCAGACCGAAAAAATAGTGAGCATATAAAATTTCTGAAATTAGAGTAGCCGCCAGGTCGTAATAGGCGATTCAGAATACAGCCAAAATCACGTGTGAACTTGAATTTCCATGGTGATGCAGTCATGTTTCAGAATTTTATGCACACACCCTGATCAAATACGTCTGAGTCGTAGAAACGTGGTCACAGTTGGCCGTAGTCTGAATCGCCTATACAGGCCCGTCGCACCGACTTTGGAGGTGGGGCGGCCATGGAAGGGGGGGGGGGGGGTCCGGGGGTCCTCCCCGTGAAAATTTCAAAAATTGAACAAAATTGCAAGCATTTCCAGGTATTTGGTGCCATTTCAGTGTACGGTAACTACAATGAAAGTCTTTTTGATTCTGCAACAAACAAAGAAGACGCTACGATCGGGGACAAACATTACCCCCCGCGGGAAAAAATTCAAAAATTGAAGCCAATTGCAAGCATTTCCAGGCATTTGGTGCCATTTCAGTGTAACTGCAATGAAAGACTTTTTTCTGCAACAAACCACGATCGGGGACAAGGATTTGTCACGTTTGCGCTAAGCTGCGATCATGCATTGTGCTTTGTTGTATTATATAAATGTACTCCAAAAAAAAAAAAAAAAAAACGCCAAAAAAGTGGGGCGGCCTCAGCCGCCCCAGCCGCCCCGGCTGTGACGGCCTTGCTATAAGACAGAATCAAGTGGGATATTGGAATTCTGAGCAGCAGTAGCGGCGGCACCACGGACACTATGGCTACCAATTTTGGGCACATCAATACCCGCCTAGCGCCTGCGTCA